GGTTTCAAGAAGGGGGGTATTCCCCCCTCCCCATGTAGTCCTGCTCCATGGGACTGCAAATGCCACAGTACCGCTTCCAGTACAGCATTCCTGCTTGCTAGTGTCAGGCAAGCCGGGCAGCGGGCAGTGTGGGATGTTGGGGCAGGGGGTGGGGGGGTGAGGAGGAGCAGAGATAAGCTATGGCCCCAGGTGGACTCATGCTCCCACTGCTGTTCTGGCACTGGCCTTGGACCGGCTGTGGGGAGCTGGTGTGCATGCGCTCATGTGCATGCCCCCTCAACAGCTTGCTGAAACTCAATAAGTGGCCCTCCAGCTCAAATAATTGCCGACCCCTGGTTTAGACCATACTTAACACAGTTCAGTCTGTGGATGATTTCTTTTTCTGCAGTTTCCCATTCAAGCTGTGTTTTAAAGTTTTGTTTTCTAAGAACAGTTACTTTGAGGTCAATAATGGAATGTCCTAGGATGTTTAAGTGTCCTGCCACAGACTTTTATGTCCTTCTGAAACTGATGTCAAATCTATGTTCATTAATTTTTTCACATAGAGATCACTCAGTTTGTCCAATGTAGACAGTAGAGGGGTGCTGTATGCAAGTTATGGCATATGTGATTCTGGTTGAGGAGCAAGCGAATGAACCCCTGAGTCTGTTAAAATAAACTTTCTGTGTTGTTTGATCCACTGATGATGTGGTCTGTGTTGATGTGGGGGACATAGCTGGCATCTGGGTCCAGAGTAAGGTCTGGGGCCTTGGTGAGAATAGGAGTTAGGTAGTGTGTTGCTGGAAAGACTCTGTTAGAGGTTGGGGGGCTGTCTGTAAGCCAGGACAGGTTTGTCCCTTATGGCTACCTTGAGATGGTCGTCATTTTCCATGGGGGAATTGGAGGTCATTAATGATGTGTCCCAGGTGTTCAAGCTGGGGGCTGTAGCTGACAACCAAAGGGCTTACATTGTCCTTGTTATGAGGTTGGTATTGTAGCAGGTTGAAGTGGGATCTGAGTCTGGCTCTGTTAATTTGAGTGGCTACAGTTTTAGGAAATGTAGGAAGCAGAAGCATAGGAATCCTTGCATTGGATCCTTAAGGTCTGCATCCCAGTCAGTGGGATCAGAGCAGATATGGTTGTGACTTAGAGCTTGGCTATAGATGATGGATTTAACCTATAGGGAATTTGCAGGTTTGTTTAAGTTAGTAGAATTTGAGGTTAATACTCCAAAACTGAGCCCAAATCCATTACCTTCCTTGGAAGTGGCTGTATAAGGCAAATATGGTTTCTCTTTAATTCTATTGTTTATTGAAAATGGGACCAAAATTTGTTGTTTCTCTGTGCTGGTAGTGCAGCACAGAGGGTTCTTGGGTTACATGGAAGGGGTACGCTGATTTTAGTAGGCTTCATCCTAGATCTAGTAATTGCCTGAGATGCAGAGGTCAAGCTGTTACAAGAGGACACTACTTATCAGGTATTAACTGAATCTCAACCTCTCTGGTAAAATTCAGCATTGGTGTTCTTGTAATTGTGGTTTTGAAAGCTCTTTGAAAGCCTCATCACTATGTAGAAAGCTTAGGCATTCTGCAGTCCTATAACACCGATGTGGATTATTCTTGTAATTAATAGACAAGCATGTGAATCTTTTTCATCCTGCTGCTGCTTTGTCTGTCTGATAGGGATTTCAAACTGTTTTTATTATTTTATATTTCACTTGCATCTAGAGGCTCCAACATGCTAGACACTGTACGAACACACAATCTTTTTCTCAAAGAGTTTTACTATTTAGACTCTCAATGCATGAGAAGAAAAAAGTATTAATATCCTTGATGTATAGGTGAGGATTGAGGTCCAGGGGTATTAAGGAATTTACCATAGGTCACACAATGAGGTTTTGGCAGAGCTGCAAATTAAATCCAGACTTCCTGAGTCCCAGTATAGTGTTTCAACGCTAAGTGGAGCCTTTCTTTTAACTTTTTATTTCTTTAGATCACAAAGTGAAGAAACTATTGTGGCTTCTTGAGATGCAGTGATAGTCTACTGGTTCATAAATCCACCTGAAAACAGACAAGACCCTTGCCTGGGATGCTGAGCAATGAGTGGCCTTGTGAGAGTTGTGCACAGGCTTAACATTATTTAGTTAAAGCTTCCATGTAGCGGAGTATGGGAAGTTCCATGCTTCTATACAGCTTCTTCTCTTGTCTCAGAGCACTAGTGAAATGTTTCTCTGCTTTGACTGCCTCTTTCTTACAGAGCAGACACTAGCCAATATATTCAAAAGCACCAAAATTACTTGAAAACTGAAGTCCTGAAAACCTGTACACTTTGTTGCTTAATGTAGGCATGAAAAGCTAGTAGTCTGAGCAGAGAGCTTCACCAAACCAAACACTACTTCCATTTGGAAAGGCTTCTGGAAAGAATTGGCACCATCTGCCTTCTCCCTGCCCTGCACTGACTGCAAGTGCCTATTACAACTGGAAACTAAATGCCTTTACATATTGACTTTCTAGTGAAAGCTGGAGGGATGCGCATTGTCCAGAAGCATCACAGCAGTGGAGAGCATCTGAGCCAAGAGAGAGACAAAGATGCCAAAGACTGGGAATGTGACAGGTAAGGGGCAGAATGGCCTTTCTCTTGGGTCTTTTATAGCAACTGCTCTTTCGAACAAGATCGGAAGTTCAGTTAGGACTGTCTTGAAGGCTTATTTTTTCTAAAACGGAAAACTTCAGGAGCCAATTAGGGACTTCTTTCAGCTTCAGCAGAGACAAAGGATGCATCAGAGACAAACTGGGTCTTTGAATCCTTAGTGCCATCTGGAGTCCTACAGTTGTAGTTTGTCTTGTAATAGCAGTGTCTATCCTAGTTTAGACAGTCTGAACAACTTCAGTGCACTTTATAAACCTTCCCTAACACTTAGCAGATTGTGACAGGCCATGTGTTCAATGCATGATTCTGCCATACCAACACACCAAGAGGATCCTCCTCCACATGGTTCCCATCTTTCATTTAAATCACATCCTCCCCAAGATGCCTCCTAATCTTCACAGTTTGTCAAAAACACTCAAGAGTTCCTGCTCTGGAGGAGTGTGAGTATCATATGACAAAACCAAGTTTGCAACGGTCCTGCTGTCTGTGGAGTAGATTGGTGTTTCCTTTGACATGAAACACTGTCCATATGAGGAGGTTTGCACACAGTAAACAAGGGTATGAACATACTGTCTACCAGATTCAACACTTGCTCCCTGCATACACCCTATCAGTGTGCACTAGTTCACTCTGCTGTGCAAGTGGAGTAAACTGCCTTGTGCTTAGTGCCCGTGAAGAATGTCTGCTCGAGGAGTTAGTGTGCAGTAAATTCACTGCTTAGTTCACTATGCATTAACTTTCCTGTGTATAAACAAGCCCTACTGTGGAGAAGAGAATTGAGACTCCAGGTTCTGGCATGATTGGAAGAGCTACCTGGCACAGGATAGAGCATTGTTTAATAGTTTCTGCAGGCTGCAGGGATGAAACATTTTTTCATAGTCACTTACTGGCTTTAAAGGAGGGTGTGGATTGTGCTTTCTCTGTGTCTTACTCACATAAGCATAGAGCAAGGTCTGGTAAGGTGTAGGGGGAGGAGAGTATCTTATTTCCTGAGATTATTTACATTTTGGGTTGTAATTTCCCCTGTGCGTGGGATGACTGGTTTTGTGGAGTCTGTACTATACAGGTGTGATCATGTGTGTCTGTCTGTTGAGTGACCCTTCAAGATGACACAACTTGTACCTCATTAACCTTCTCCAAAGAGGTGTCTTTTCCTGTCTCAAAAAATTGTGTTCGTATTTGCTTTTGGCAATGGGCCATGGAGCCATATCTCAAACCCTTCTAAATACCCAGAGGTGCAATGAAGTACATTTTAGAAGGCCCAGTGGGTAATAGCTGTTAAGATTTCACTTGACTTTTAGGGATCTCTACGTGTTTCTGTCTCTGAGGAAAAACAAATCTGGCAGGAATTATTCCAGTTACTTGTAACTAGAGTGCTGCCTGAAAAAGAGGTACTTAATGCCAATGAGAGACTGCAGGACCTGAACCTGTTCAGCTTTCACA